AGAGTGCTGTGAAAAGAAGTGCTTTTTATTTTAAATTTATGGAAATGGACTAAATGAAAAAAAGCCCTAAAACATGAAATGGCCATTTTAAAATGAGGGGGTGGGGGAATGATTGCATTATCAATGCAAGTATTCAATGGATGGTAGTTAATGAATTATTTTTCAAATAATGGAATGTTTGAAGGCAGACTCCGAATTTCAAATAGTGACTAAAAGATCCAACCAAGATAGGGATGGATAAAAATAAAAATAAATAATGGGATTTGGTGTAAAGTTCATGACCAGTTTGATTCACAAACATACTTTCACTGGTTTCTTACTAACCTAGCAATCAACATTAGACTTGAAGCTCAGACCTAACTTCACCTGTATCCCAACATAGGTTTGTTACCTGGAAAAATGAAGACTGTTTTCTCTATGTAATGTCCATGCTTGATTTCCAAGCAAGGTGCAGATCATCTCATAATCAGATTTTCCCTAATTCCTTCCACACCAATCCTCAGTCCTTGCATATTAACTAACAATTAATTGAAGCTGTTACTGAACTTTAGGAAAGAGGCCTTCACTGACAGACAGCCATTTCTGTCTCATTCTGTCGAATATCTTTATTAAGAAATTGCTATGGGGCTTAACTTTTAACTCAGCTAACACTGCTGAAATGCCTCAATTTTGCAGCTGTGAACTTCCTCTTATGGGTTTCTAGCATGTTTCCATGCCTCTCTTGTGACCCAATCTGGTTCTTGGCTTGGAAACTTAGAAAGCAGAATTACTGGGGTGAAGCTAGGAAAAACCCCATTCTACAGTTCCCATTTTTGTGGCATTGTGGGAATTTTTTAAATTTTTTTTTAACTGTATACAGCACTTGTGACATTTTATGGAACTATGCCCTCCTATTATGGCCAATAAAAGATATTTTAATGTTGTTTATATTATACGTCACCTGGAGCCACAAAGTCAGCAGAGTTAGAAAGGAAAGTAGTTTAAGAAGATTAAGAGGTCATATCTGGATCTCAAACCTTCATCGTGAACTCACTCACTTGGAGAGCATTGCTTGGATCTTCTGATTGGCTGAGGCCGTGTCGGCATCAACTTATCCTTTGTGACTTCAGTGGCATTTTTATGGTTCTCTGGCATCTGCTTTTGTTCAAGGTGGGCCATTCCGAGGCAGTCTGGTGCACCAATTGCACTGCTTCTTGTCTCGGTGTGCAAGAGTGGAATTAAACCTGAGGAACAAGGGCGTTGCACCTGTATCTTTCCTCCGTCCCCCCCCCAAAAAACCGGGGCTATGGGTTGGGCAGCCACAGGAGAGATGGATGCTGCAATGTGAAAAGTAGATAAATACAACACAATGCAATTGATAGGATTGTGGTTACTCTATAAAGAGCTTTAATGCTCAGCGTTGGGTGACGTGCCAGACCATAACTCTCTATTGCAGTGGTTCCCAAACTTGGCAGCTTTAAGACTTGTGGACTTCAACTCCCAGAATTCTCCAAGGTGGCGCAGTGGTTAAATGCAGCACTGCAGGCTACTGCTAGATCAGCAGGTCAGCGGTTCAAATCTCACCGGCTCAGGGTTGACTCANGAAGCAATGGGTGGAAACTAATCAAGGAGAGAAGCAACTTAGAACTGAGGAGAAATTTCCTGACAGTGAGAACAATTAATCAGTGGAACAACTTGAAGTTGTAAATGCTCCAACATTAGAAGTCTTTTAAGAAGATGTTGGAAAACCATTTGTTTGAAGTACTGCAGGATTTTTTTTTTGTCTAAGCAGGGGGTTGGACTAGAAGACCTCCAACTCTGTTATTCTATGATTCTAGAATATGAATGGTGCAGCTCTTTACCCATCTTGCTTCTTTATCTCATTGGGATATCCTTTTTCCCCCGCTCTGAGTGATGTGATGTGATTTTATCTGATTCTGTTCAGATGAGGAAATGGGGCCATGTTGTTATGATTATTATTTTTATTTATTTGTATCCCACCTTTATTATTTTTACACATAACTCAGGGCGGCAAAGATATCCAAACATACCTTCTTCCTCCAATTTTCCTCACAACAGCAGCCCTGTGAGATGGGTTGGATTGAGAGAGAGTGACTGGCCCAAAGTTACTTTAGCTGGCTTAAGTGGCAAAGGTGGGCCTTGAACTCACAGTCTCCTGCTTTCTAGTCTGGTGCCTTAACCACCAAACCAAACTGGTTCTTAAACTACAAACACAAAGCATCATAATCTGGTTGCTCAAACCTCTACCTGGACACTATAATCTATCCCAGTGTTTCTCAGCCTTGGCCATTTAAAGGTTTGTGGACTTCAACCCCCAGAATTCTCCCATTTCTCGGGGTTAAAGTCTACCTATCTTTAAGTTGCTAAACTTGAAATAGACTGCTCTATCCATTCTCAGCATTTATCTTCCATTCCCCAAAACTGGAACAGAGAAACATCATGCAGGAATTAATTAATTTCAGATGTAAATGATGGGAAAAATATGAGAAGGACTCTTTCCAACCAGGGGAAGATTATCAACTCATTGGTGCACTTAGTAATTCTGTGTGGCATCCAGAAGGCAAGACTGCAATTACTCATATCACACCATTAATTTGTGCCAAGGCTAAAAATATTGCCTAATATGCTAATCTTGCTTTGTTTAAACTTTGGTAAAAGGTTTTTTTTTGTAGCTCAGACACAGTTGTGCAAATCCTATTCATGTGTTTAGTCTGCAGTTTAATATATTATGCAAAGCTAGAAAATGATTAAATTCAGTAACAAGGCTAAGCATGCTGAGTGAACACTTTACTACATATTCAACTAAGTTATTTGCTACTAGGCAAGCAACTGAATGATTTAAAATTGCCTCCTCATATTACCTGTCCTTCAAACAAGGAGCATCTAAAGCACATTTTACATAAGACATGATGAATACACATATGTAAAAGCAATAGTCTGGCCGATATTCTGTTTCAAGGACTCAAATAATGTTCCTTTCTTTGCAAAACTAGTATAGAGAGGGTCCCCCCCCTCATGCAACTTATAGTCATTTTTTTTTATTGGCAACACCTTTCAAGTAGTAATAGCAATACTTTTAATTAGCACATGCTTATAACTAGTGAAATGACTAAATCAAAACAGGCAAATCAAAATTATATATAAACTAATATAAAAATAAAAGAATATTGCAATCAAGGTAAGATATTCCCAATGCAGTACAACAATCGATGTAAAAACATTTAATATTACCAAAAATTTAGNATAAATAAATAAATAAATAAATAAATAAATAAATAAATAAATAAATAAGAGACAGGAAGTGTTCCTGGCCAAAACAAAGGGTCACATCATGGTTTGTTTGGCACTCATCCTTTTAGCACTTGTCGCATCTCCTGGAACCAATTAATGACGAGTACCAAGGTACCACTGGATCAGAAATGGCTGGCTTGCTCCCTATACTGTGATTCCATCTCTCCTTGTCCCCATTCTTCTTAGAGTGAGTTCCTTTTTTAAATTTCTATATTAATACAGAGGTTACATGCTGGAGAGCAGGTTTACAAGGTGTGATGATAAATCCAGACCAACTCCATTCTTTGGGCTCCCATTTGGTAACTGGAATGTTACCCCAAAAACAAAGCGAAGGAGAAAAAAGTCGACTCTTGTGCTATATGGCTCAAAACCAGTGGTGAAATTCAAATATTTTTTTTACTACCAATTCTGTGGGCATGGCTTGGTGGATGTGGCAGGGGAAGGATACTGTAAAATCTCCATTCCCCCCCCCCACTCCTGGGGGAAGGATGTTGCAAAATCTCCATTCCCACCCCATTCTGTGGCCAGCTAGAGGTGGTATTTGCCGGTTCTCTGAACTACTCAAAATTTCTGCTACCAGTTCTCCAGGACCTGTCGGAACCTGCTAAATTTCACCCCTGCTCAAAGCTATGAGAGGGTAGTGACCAAATACATAATCAAATAAGCTGAAGATCTTATATTTGTTTTCTTTTACTTTCAGTGCACCCACCCTTGAGCTCATTGCATTATATTGAGTTTTTAGCAGAGAATAGGTTAATGCCCATGAAGTTCTCGGCTACGACTGGCAAGTGCTTCAGAGTCAGTTCCTCAAAGTTCCTTATTCAAAGTGGACGGGAGCAAAATTATAGCACTTACCTGCAACTTTTTAAAGCAGCCATGTCTTTTTCTGGGATCAGGCAACTAGCATCCCCAGAAAAGACATGGCTACTTTAAAGAGTTACGTGATGACCTTCACAGACTTGTGTGTTTCAAACAGCTCTTGGGAATTAAATCCAAAGCACCGCATAGCCTTATTAAAAAAACACTAACATATATACTGGAACTCAAGTTAATAAAAAAGGCTTTTAAAAAGGGAAGCTAATTCTATTTTATTATACTGGTAGGTGGCCACAGAGTAAAAGCTGCTCACATTGTTTTGGAAATGATCCTGGTGAAGCCTTCAAATGCCAAATAAGAAGAAAGGAAATAAATGTTTTTTAAAATGTGTGTTTTACCTGTCTGGCGTATCTAGTGGACGGATTTTGTTGTCCTCTACTGCTATAAAATATCTGTCAAAAATAGGAAAGGAGAAAAATAGGAAATGTTAATATAATTATGTCTCACAAAGAAAAAGGAAGGATATGTAAAGCTATTGGAACTAGGAGCTGGCAGGAAAGTATTTAGGAGAGAGTCAGGAAGAAGCATATGTGGGGAAAAAGTGATGGACTGAGAGAGAGGCAGGAAAAGACCAAGAAAGTTACATTTGGGTGGAGTTGATAAATTCCTCTAAAAAGAGGAAGATGAGAAGTTTAAAGAACTAAGCACAATTACAGGTAGTACTCGAGTTACAACCACAATGGAGCCCAAAATGTATGTTGCTAAATGAAACATTAGTCGAGTTTTGCCCCATTTTACGATCTTCCTTGCCATAGTTGTTAAATGAATCACTGCAGTTGTTAAGTTAGTAACAGGGTTGTTAAGTGAATCTGGCTTCCCTATTGGCTTTGCTTGTCAGGAGATCACCAAAGGTCACCAAACATGACCCCAGGACACCGCAGCCATTATAAATATGAGTCAGTTGCCAAGCATCTGAATTTTGATCTTGCGACCATGGGGATGCTACAATGGTCGTAAGCGTGAAAAATGGTCTGAAGTCACTTTTTTCAGTGCCGTTGTAACTTCGAACAGTCACTAAATGAAGTGTTGTAAGTTGAGGATGCCCTGTAATGAAGTGGCACGTGGGTATTATAAAAACTAGACTAACTAAAATAAATGGAAAGATATGGAGATGTAGGAGGTAAAGGTAAAGGTTCCCCTCTCACATATGTGCTAGTCCTTCCCGACTCTAGGGGGCGGTGCTCATCTCCGTTTCAAAGCTGAAGAGCCAGTGCTATCCGAAGACATCTCCGTGGTCATGTGGCCAGCATGACTAAATGCCGAGAGCGCACGGAAAGATGTTCCCTTCCCACCAAAGGTGGTCCCTATTTTTCTACTTGCATTTTTTACGTGCTTTCAAACTGCTAGGTTGGCAGAAGCTGGGACAAGTAATGGGAGCTCACTCTGTTCCGCGGCGCTAGGGATTCAAACCACTGAACTGTTGACCTTCTGATTGACAAGCTCAGCATCTTAGCCACTGAGCCACCGTGTCCCNTCATTGGCTTCTAAACTAGATCATAGGTAGTCACCTGAATACAGAACCATAGTGAGCAGTATTTAAGCCACGTCTCAGCATAGGAATCCAAATTAAAGCAACCCCATATGGTGCTTGAATGTGTCTAATGAAGGCAAATCTATCATGTTTGCAGAAACTGGTCCCACAGTTGAACTATTCTTATTGTAGGACAATTTTCTTCTAACCTTTAACTGAAACCTGTCTTCTAAAATTAGTTCTTCTGGACTTGGCCTTCTTCTGGGTGGCATTTTTTCAGATAATTAAAAAATACTGTCATTTCCTCCTCCTCCGGTTCTACAAGCTCTCTTTATAGATTTAGCTTCTAGTTCCCTCTTGTCTTTTCTGAACCTGCTGCAAAATCCCTGAATCCTTCTTAAAATGTGATATCCAGAACGGGATAAGATTCAGCAGCTGAGGGCACACTAATCCAGAATAAAGGGGCACAATTAATTCCTATAATTTCTAAATTATACTGTACTTCCATTCATGCAGCTGAAAAATCTTGATTTTCGCAGTGCTGACATACATGCAAGTTTATAATTAACTTTTACAGGGATAACTTTGTTTTTTTACAAGTACCATCAACTCAGAACATTCCTGTCTCCATTTTATATCTACACATTTGCTTTCTTTTATTTTAGGAAAGAAAGGAAG